GACATAGAAGTTCAATCCTCTTAACGTTGCAGCCTTGTACAGTGTGTTTGACCCAACCGTGGAACACTCAACCGCAAACATTGCAGCAAACGGAACAACATCTCTGTGAAAGTACCTCCACGCCACTGTCTCTTCTCCTGTTCCTCTCATGATAGATTTAATGTCTAAATTCCCCCCCAGAAACTCTCTGATGAGATTAAAGTGGGGGTAGAAGCAATCATTGAGTTGGTGGTTAATCCGTCACGCAAGCTAAATGGTCATTATTTTATAATTTTATATATTAGTCCGACTTGACCAAATATTTCACTCGAATATCCAATTGAATATTATAATACCTTCAGCTGAAGAGAGACAAAGTAGGTGTAACAATAACGGCGAGGGTGAAGATAAAAAGCTGGCGTGAGGATTCTGATAGCAGAGGAAAGAGTAGGCAAACTATATTACATTCCTTTACAGCCAGCTATCTACTACGGCTGTAGGAAATACGAAACCAGATTCTTTCGGAATTACGAAACTACACAACATAAACCATGAAATACTTTCTGAATGTAATAAAAGAGATCAAATACCTTCTAAAGATGAGGAAGAGTGGAAGAAGGACAAGTGTAGCAACGACATAGTTGTAGTAGACAAAGAGATAAAAGGTCAATCCTCTCAAGGTCGCAGCCTTGGACAGTCTTAGATCCAATCATGATACACTCCACCGCGACCATTGCAGTGGAAGGCAACATCTCTGCAATAGCATCACCATGCCACTGTCTCTTCTTCTTCTCCTCCTCCTGCCATAAGATCTGATGTTCATACTTTCTAAAAAACTCAGAAGTCAACGTGACTTCATAAGCAACCATAGGAATTAATTCCACCACGTTTCCTACATGCTATGCCAGTAACATCTTACACCATTGTCACCATACAACTACAATATTTATCATAAAAGGGTCCCAAAGAGGACATAGAACTTAATCCTGCAGCTAAATTTCCCAACTTCCATTTGAAAATTCACCATTAAACGAAGCAGAAGAAATTCTTTACTCATTCGTTTGGGGTAACTTTGTATTGTGAAGTAATGTTTCTGAGACTAGCAGAATGCAATAATTTCCGAGACTGCCAAATATCCTTTACTCACCAAAACAATAAAATCATTGTTTCTTGCTAAAACTATAAAATCATATTGCATGCCAAAGCCGTAAAATCTCACTTTCATGCCAAAACTGTAAAATTCCATTTTCAGCCAAAACCCACAAATTATATTAAATATAATATTTTCATTATATATTATTTCATAATTTAAAAGTATTGTACATTTTATTAACTTTTATTAAAGATAAGGACTATAGTATAAAATATAAAATTTTAAAATTAGATTTGAAGTACTTTTGGAGAGACACACTCTCAAATTCAAATATTAAGTTTTGCCAACTTCAAATGTGAAGTTGTTTTTGTAGATGCTCTAAGCAACCATAGAATTAATCCCACCACGTTTCCTAGGGTATGCCCAAATTCACACATCCCTAAGCAACCATAGGAATTAATCCCACCACGTTTCCTAGATGCTACATTAATCATATTCCTGCAGCTGAACAATTTTTCAACTTCCATTTGAACATTCTCCATAAAACGATACAGAAGAACTTTTTCTTTACTCATTCGTTTGGGTAACTTTGTATTGTAAAAATGTTTCTTAGTAGCAACAATGCAATAATTTGAAAGTTATCACCATCCACCCGTATTTACAAAACATATTATCATTCACTTGCATCACTCTTATCTTAATGACAAGCCTTCATCACTGTAGCAAGGGTTGACAATGGTCAGAACCAGCTACAGTTTTGGTTGAATCCTCTTTTGTTTTACCCCAAATCACAGTGTAGAATCCAAAACACAATATCACTGATCCAATGACACTGCCCACAACACATACATGCAAAACCTATATTCGTTATTACCGTGGCAGTTTATACAGTTATGTAACATGGAACTATGGAGACTTAAAATAGATACTAAGCATTTCAACAGCCTAGAGTTGATTTCTCAGTATAGAAAATAATCTTCTGAACATGCTAGAAGTAAGAAGAAGAAAGAGATAATACCTCCCGAGGTGAAGTGCATCACCGAGGAATATAGAACCCATGGCAACTGCAATTGCAATAGACAGTGGCCTAAACAAGGACACATAGACAGGACCCTTCAGATGCAGACCCCATGTATGGGTAAGAACACTGAATAATGAAGCAAAGACTCCCTGAAACAAAGTGTTTAATGCCTGAGCTTAAAACATAATCAGCAATGGAAGCAGATTTATAAGATGTGATTCTCACCGAATATACGATTGCAGCGAGGGTAATATCCGGTTTAACATTCCAAGAAGTTGAGTTCCTTTCTGCCAATAAACATACAGGTGCTGAGACTAGCGTTGCAAATTGCAAATAAGTTGTAGAAGAAGACTACTGTTATTTCTTCAGGGTACACCTCCATGACCAGAGTCTGAAACCATATAGCTACTGAATTTAGCAAGAGTATTATGTGTTCACCAACAACTCAGAGTATCTAAGCGTTTATACCTGAACAATATACCAGACTGAAACTAAAAAGAACTGTGAAGCAAACAAAAGGCCACCGAGTATCCACCTTGACTCTAATGAAGTCAACTGCTGGTGAGGCGAACTGGTAGGAGAAGACAAAGGTGTAAAAGATGCAGCAGATAGAACCTTTGGGCCTTTATACAGCACAACAACCAGAGCACCAGATATAGATAATACTCCGCCGATGATTTTAGCCTGAGTCGCAGAGTTCCTTAACACTACTTGTTCCATCCTTTACGAGCCACACAAGGAAGCAGAACCAGTTAAGAGTTACATACCCAATGATGATACTTATAGTAAGAAACCACGAGGTGGAACCTGAAGATAACTGCGAGGGTGAATGTGAAAGCAGGCGTGAGATTGCTCATAGCAGAGGAAAGAGTAGGAGAACTTTGTTCTACACCTTTAAAACCAACCATCTGGGCCATGCACCTGTTCAGTAAAGTCAACAAACTAGGATACAAAAACTAGTAATCTAGCTGGAGTTATATTATTTACCCGAAAAGCCCAAGTAAGAACATCTTGAAGAAGAGAGGAGACTTGGCTGAAGGTAACTTTTTAGATCTGCATATAAAAAAGTAAGTTCATCATGTTCTTGAAAAAATATCATACTGAATAAAGGTGAGATCAAGTACCTTCCGAAGATGAGGGTAAGTGGAAGAAGCACAAGTGTTGAAACAGCATAAGAGTAAAAAATAAAGACATAGAAGTTCAGTCCTCTTAACGTTGCAGCCTTGTACAGTGTGTTTGACCCAACCGTGGAACACTCCACTGCAAACATTGCAGCAAACGGCACAACATCTCTGCGGAAGTATCTCCTTGCCACTCTCTCTTCTCCTGTTCCTCTCATGACAGATTTGATGTCTAAATTCCCAGAAACACTCTGATGAGATTAAAGTGGGCATATAAGCAATCATTGCATTGGGTTGGTGGTCAATTCCAGTATGCTTGCTAAATGGTCATTGTTTTTATTTATCAGTGACCACTTGACCAAATAATTCACACCACAAATTAAAAATATCAGTTTTCGCTCTCAATAATTTTTTTTATAAAAAAAAAGTTGACCAAAACGAATATTCTTATAATTCAGCTGAATCAGTCAACTGAAGAATTTCTCAACTTCCATTCAATGTTGAAAACTTCCAATCAGCATCATCATAGTTTCAACTTCAGAGAAAACTTTTCAGAAAGATTTCTTGAACATCTCATTCTATTAACCTCCATCAACAGAAGCAGGTAGATTTACCTACTCGGTGTTCGGTAATAAGATTGGTAGTAACAAGCAAACCTGATATCCACCCAACTTTATCGCAGAAAAGAAAGAGAATGAGGTGTAGCCTGAAGATAACGGCTAAAGTGAAGGTAAAAACTGATGTGGGGTATCTGCGACATGAGCCTGATTCTCCAAATTTAGGAAAACACACAACAGAAACCAGGAAATGCCCTAAAACCAAGAAACATGACCACATTGTTATTACCCGAGAAGCCAAGTAAGAAAATCTTGAAGAAGAGTGGAGAGTTGACCTACATACATGTAAGTTCATATTCTTGAAAAAGCTTATACGTCGCATCAAAGAGTATATGAGAAAAGATCAATACCTTCCAAAGATGATGGAAAGCGGAAAAAGGATTAGTGTTGAAACAACATAAAATTAGAAGATAAAGACATAGAAGTTCAATCCTCTTAAAGTAACAGCTTGGTAGAGCGTCTGCTTGACCCAACCGTGGCATACTCCACTTGAAACATGGCAGCAAACGGGGACAACATTTCTGCCAAAGTACATCCATGACACTGTCAAAGTGACCTCATAAGGAGCCATAGTTATTCTACCACGTTTGCCAAATGCTACATTATGTATCCCCAATACTTGACACGATTTACACCACACAACAAAAATATTTTTGATGAAGGGTCCCATTCTTTTATCTTCTCTTCAAAGAGGACACATAACTTGGTCACATATCCATAACACGAAACAGAAGAAATGTCAAATACAAAAACCAGTCCAAACATCTCTATGATGAACGTCTGGGTAACTTTGTATTGTGAAAAAATGTTTCTGAGACTAGCACAATTGCAATAATTTGAAATTCATCACCATCCTCGCGCATTTACAAATGAATAATATAAGCATATTGACATTCACTTGCATCAGTCTGATCTTAATGACAAGCTTCATTTTCTGCTATATGTGTGAGAAGCAAGGGTGAACAACCAGCTACCGTGTTGGTTGAATCCTCTCTTGTTTTAGCCCAAATCACAGTGTAGAAACCAAAGCACAATATCAGTGATCCAATGACACTGTCCACAACACATAAAGGGTGAAATCCAAATCAGTTATTACTTCATCGATAAGCTTATTACACAGATAAAATCTTCATAGCATACTAGAAACGAAGAATATAAAGATATGGTACCTCCCAAGGTGAAGTGCATCGCCGAGGAATATAGAACCCATTACAACTGCAATCGCAATAGACAGTGGCCTAAACAAGGATACATAGACAGGACCCTTCAGATGCAGACCCCATGTGTGGGTAAAAACACTGAATATTGAAGCAAAGACTCCCTGAAACAAAGTGGTTATAATATCTGAGCTTAGAACATAGTCAGCAACGGAATCAAATTAGAAGGTTTGATTTTCACCGAGTATACGATCGCAGCGAAGGTAATATGCGGTTTAAGAACCCAAGGAGCCAAGTTCCTTTCCGCCAATAAACATACAGGTGCTGAGATTAACGTTGCACATAATTTAAAGTAGAAGACTACTGTTATTTCTTCAGGGTATACCTCCATTACCATAGTCTGAAACCATATACACCTACCGAATTTAGCAAGAGTTTTATGTGTAACCAACAATCCAGAGTATCTAAGTGTTTATACCTGAATAATATACCAGACTGAATCAAAAAAGAACTGCGACGCAAGCAAAAGGCCACCGACTATCCAGCTCGACTCTGGTGAAATCAAGTGCTGGTCAAGTGAAATGGTAGTAGGAGTTGATGAAGGTGTAAAAGATGCAGCAAATAGAACTTTGGGGCCTTTATACAGCACAACAACCAGAGCACCAGAGATAGACAGTACTCCTCCAACGATTTTAGCCTGAGTCGCAGAGCTCCTTAACACTACTTGTTCCATTCTTTACGAGCCACACAACGAAGACGAACCAGTTAAGAGTTGCATACTTAACAGTGATATTCATAGTAACAAACTATAAGGTAGAACCTGAAGATAACTGCGAGGGTGAATGTGAAAGCTGGCGTGAGATTGCTCATAGCAGAGGAAAGCGTAGGAGAACTTTTTTCTACACCTTTAAAACCAACCATCTGCGACATGCACCTGTTCCTCTAAGTCAACAAACATAGAACACAAAAACAGGAGACGACCAGTAATCTAGAAGGTGGAGTTTTATTATTTACCCGAAAAGCCCCAGTAAGAAAATCTTGAAGAAGAGAGGAGACTTGGCTGAAGGTAACTTTCTAGACCTACATATAAAAAGTAAGTTCATCAAGTACCGTCCAAAGATGAGGACAAGTGGAAGAAGCACAAGTGTTGAAGCAGCATAAGAGTAAAAGATAAAGACATAGAAGTTCAATCCTCTTAACGAAGCAGATTTGTACAGTGTGTTTGACCCAACAGTGGAACACTCCACTGCAAACATTGCAGCAAACGGCACAACATCTCTGTGAAAGTATCTCCTTGCCACTGTCTCTTCTCTTGTTCCTCTCATGACAGATTTGATGTGTAAATTCACAGAAACTGTCTGATGAGATTAAAGTGGGCATATAAGCAATCATTGGGTTGGTGGTCAATAGCATCATGTTTGCTAAATGGTCATTATTTTATTCATAAGTGACCATTTCACCAAATAATTCACAACACACATTAAAATATCACTCTTCTCTCTCGATAATTAAAAAAAGAAAAAGAAAAAACAAGTTACCAAAACGAATATTCTAATACCAGCTGCTGAATCAGCCAACCGAAGAATTTCTCAGCTTCCATTCCAATGATGAAAACTTCCAATCACATCAGCATCATCTTAGCTTTCAACATCACAGAAAAATTCAGATAGATCATTCTACTAACCTCAATCAGCAGAACTACTTAAGATTTACCTACTCGATGATAATAATTGGTAGTAACAAGCATACCTGATATCCACCCAACTTTAGAAAAGAAAGAGAAGGAGGAGGAGTAGCCCGAAACGGCTAGCTAGGGTGAAGGTAAAAGCTGGTGTGAGGTATCTGCGACATGAACCTGATTCTCCCAAATTAGGAAAGTACACAACATAAACAACGAAATGACCATAAACCAAGAAACATGACCACATTGATATTACCTAAGAATGCCCAAGTAAGAAAAATCTTGAAGAAAATCTACTTGACCTAACATACATGTAAAAAAAAAAACAAGTTCATATTCTTGAAAAGGCTTATACGGCGCATCAAAGAGTATATGAGCGAAGGTCGATACCTTCCAAAGATGATGGAAAGCCGAAGAAGGATTAGTTATGAAACAAAAAAAAAAATGTAGAAGATAAAGACATACAAGTTCAATCCACTAAAGTACCTCCACGCCATCGTCTCTTCTCCTATTCCCCTCATGACATATATGATTGATAAAGTTCTGCAACAATTTCATCTTAGCTTTAATCTGGTCCTACATTATCACTGACCTTTCGAACGGAGTCAGGAGCTCACGGGGATCGACTTGCCGTCGCCTGTGCGGCGATTTCACCATTAGGTGCCGTGCTGCAGGCGACCGTCAAAAGAATTGATCCAACGGTTAGATTTTCAGACGACAAAGTATAGGTTTTGATCGTGCTTGTTGACACTACTAGTACTAGGGAGGGGGGTGTGGAGTAAACTAAACCAAACCAAATTATCAAAAACAAAATCAAACCGGATTTTGTTTGTAAGTTGATTGGTTTAATAAAACCCAGAACCGCAGCCAGATCGCTTATCCCACGGTTAGATTTCAGAGATATAATTGGTCTGGATGGTCAGGCCCATTTTATTGGATCCTATAATTGGACCAAACATGGAAAACCGTCATTTTTATGATTGGTCAATGATTTTTTTAATTTAGTTAAAATTTTTAAAAATAAATTAATCCTCGAATTACCTTATATAATCTATGTTTCCAAAATCTGCCAAATTCTCTATGTTTTCTCTCTAAAAATCTCCTAAACAAAAGTTACATCTTCGTTTTTGCTGTAATATAGTTTCTTCGCTAGGCGATCTGAGCTTCCACATAGTCGGATCAACTCAAGTTTCTTCTTTTTTTCTCTGGTTTTTTGAGTTGATTAATAAAACTTCTTACTTTGCTCTCCACCTGGTTTTAAATATCATCATGTTTTGAATACTAGAGAAAATATTTCTTTCATCTTACTCTGAACTCTAAATAAGAGAATCAGTCTTCGTTCTTTGTTTAGCCAGCTATGGCACTAAGCGAAGCATCTCTGGAGATTAGAAGGATGAATTTTGATGGAGATCTTGAATCATATGTTGAAGAGGATTCAGATGAGCTGGCGCTTGAAGCGGTCCGGAAAAAATCTTTCTTCTACTTGATTTTAGCTTTCTTGGGCATAATTCTGATGAATCAAGGTTTATTTGCTCTAAGTGTTCGCGGCTTAAGGTGGAAAGCTTTCAAATTTTGGTATCGGAGTTGGGATTGCGACGGAGAGGAAGAGACATAAAAAAGTTCTTCCAGGACCTTGCGGTGATGACGCAGCCGAGATTGCCGTTTACTGCATGTCAGACGCGTGGCTAAGCGACGTGGCTTCAGGAGATTGAAGAAGAGGTTTAAACCAACTCGTGGGGGTATGGTAGTGAGTCAGATGTTACGGTTGAGGCAAACGGGATCAATCACTGAGTACCGGGAGGAGTTTGAGGAGCTCTCAGCTGAAGTACCGCACGTTCCAAATGATGTATTGGAGGAGATGTTTTTACATGGAATGAGGAGGAGTTTGCGGGAACAAGTGGTGAGGCTCAGACCGGTTGGTATGGATGAGATAGTTGATATGGCAAAGATCATAGAAGATCAGGAGAATGATAAGAATTCTTACCACTCGAGAACTTTCCAACGCACCAACTCACCAAACTCAAACTCGAGGAACCAAAACTCGAGTTTCTCCAAGCAAAATGAGCATTCTAATGCCAGGATATCCTTCGAGTCAGCACGAGATAATAAGCAGGGGGAGCAGAAGAAGACCGTCCAAAACCCTTGTAGACACTGTGGTGAGAGGTATTTCACTGGACATCGTTGTAAGGCATACCAGAGGTTTAAATGTATGGAGGTGGAAGAAGAGTCCGAACCTGACGACAAGGAGGAACATGATTCGGACGAGAGTCAGAAGTAAATGAAACCACAAGCCCAAGAGCTCCATGTCTTATCCTTACAGACAATGGCGGGAATCACGTCCAAGAGAACTTTGAAGTTGATAGGTAAGATGGGGAAAATGGAGGTACTGATACTTATCGACTAAGGGGCTTCTTCGAGTTTCTTATCTACCAGTCTGGTGAAGCAGTTGGGGATACCGGTGGTACCAACCTATGAGTTTGGAGTGTCGATAGCAGATGGAAGGATCATTTATGGAAGTGGTAAATGTGAGAACCCTAGTTTAAACATACAAGGGGTGGACATCTTAGAAGAATTCTTGTTGTTTGAACTAGGATCCATAGATGTGGTGCTTGGGCATACTTGGTTGGAAAGGTTAGGTGAGATGAGAATCAACTGGGGATTACATGTCATGCGCTTCCAAGTGGGAGACACTTGGGTCACTCTCAAAGGAGATCATGCATTGCTACGAGATCAGGTATCCATTAATTCTATGGAGAAGTTATGTGAGAAGGAAGACGTGGTATTGTTGTTGGAGTTACAAGCTTTATTTGAGAATGGTAAGGAGCAGGGACTTACGCAAGAACCGAGTTCGGAGATAAAGAAGCTCTTACATAAGTTCAAAGGAGTGTTCAATATGCCTAGAGGGTTACCCCCCAAAAGGACAAGAGAGCAAGCAATCACCTTACAAGATGGAACTTCCCCGATTAATATTATCAGGCCATACCGTTATTCTCACTTGCAGAAGAATGAAATTGGGAAGCTGGTGCAGGAGATGCTTCAAGCGGGTATAATCAGGCCTAGTATCAGTCCCTTCTCCAGTCCGGTCCTACTAGTGACGGAAAAGGATGGGGGGTTTCGATTTTGTGTTGATTATCGTGTGGTTAACAAGAGCACAATACCTGATCGTTATCCAATACCGGTCATCGAGGAGCTATTGGATGAGTTGGCTGGAGCAGCTGTTTTCTCCAAGTTAGACTTGAAATCAGGATACCATCAGATTCGAGTTAGAGATGAAGACGTTGGGAAGAAAGCATTTAAAACACATGAGGGGCATTATGAGTTTTTGGCAATGTTTGAGAATTCGCTAGGCGCTAGTCGGGCGCTCGGCTTGGGACTAGCGCCTAGACCATAAAGCGGGGATTAATCGGAGATTATTCGGGGATTATTTTTTTGTATTTTTGTAATAAAATCTTGTCTATATATAAGAAATTACGTTTTAAACATTGAAATGTGTTGTAGTCCACTGGTGTGTGATAATGTTGTCTCATTAGAAGGACCACAGTTCGATTCTCCACGCATTCATAAATTTTGGAGAAGGATGAGGAGTTACAGGAAATAATTCAGAAGGTAATAAATGGAGAGAAAAAGGTTGAAGGGTAAAGTGTAGCAGAAGGGGTCCTTTTTAAAGATAGGAGACTGGTGATTCCTGAAAAGTCTCCATTTATTCCAGCCTTGATAAGGTAATTCCATGCTGAAAAGTCTCCATTTATTCCAGCCTTGATACGGCAATTCCATGACAGTGCTATTGGAGGACATGAGGGAGTGCTAAAAATTTTTAAGAGAATGGCGAGATAAGTGTATTGGAGGGGAATAAAGCGAGACATCACTGATTTCATCAAAGCGTGTGCGGTTTGTCAGCAGAACTAATATTTCATCTTGTCACCCGCGGGATTGCTATCTCCACTTCCCATACCGAAGCAAGTGTGGTTGGATATCAGTTTGGATTTCGTCGAGGGTCTTCCTATATCTAAGGGCTTCGATGTGATCCTGGTGGTTGTGGACAGGTTGACTAAATATGCACACTTCATTCCTCTGAAGCACCCATTCTTTGCGAAGTCAGTGGCTGAAGTGTTTGTGAAGGAAGTAGTTAAGTTACATGGGTTTCCGGAGACCATGGTATCGAACAGAGACAAGGTTTTTCTGAGTAATTTCTGGTCTGCTTTATTCCAGAGCCAAGGTACAACTTTACATAAAAGCACAGCTTACCACCCACAGTCTGATGGACATACCGAAGTGGTAAACATGTGTCTTGAGGCGTATCTGAGATGTTTTGCGGGGAGGAAGCCGTCAACGTGGATTCAGTGGCTTCCTTGGGCCGAATTCTGGTATAACTCTTCTTTCCACTGGTCTGCCAATACAACTCCTTTCCTTGCCTTGTATGGGAGAGACCCACCGAAGCTGTTGAGGTTGGGGGATATTCCGACAGCCAATGCAGAGGTGGAAGAGATGACTCAGAACAGGGATGAGTTGCTTAAAGAGTTGCGTGACAATCTAGCTATTGCTCAGAGTAAGATGCAGGCCTCTGCAAATAAGAAGCGTCGAGATGTGGAGTTCAGTGTGGGAGATTGGGTCTATCTCAAGCTGAGACCTAACCGCCAAATTTCTGTGGCAATGCGTCATGTGGAGAAGCTAGCTCCAAGGTTCTTTGGCCCGTATCAGATAACACAGAGGATCGGGAAGGTGGCCTATAAGCTAGCACTGCCTCCTCAAAGTGTTATACATCCGGTTTTCCATGTCTCCCAGCTGAAGCAGGCTGTGGAACCTAATCAACAGGTTTAGGAGCTCCCTTTAATACTAACATCTTCTTTTGAGTGGAACACTGAGCTGCAGGAGTTGCTTGAGATCAGGAGGTCGAAGGAGAACAAGCAAGCTGAGGTGTT